ACATGTCTGTTAATGAGTTTACGTGATATTACTTGATAACATCTTTTTGTTTACCAAAATGTGATTGCGAATATTTCAGTTTGAGAATTGATAACGTTTTATACAAAAATATTATTTTTTATTTGTTTTAAGAATTCAAACAGGCGACAGAACATCAATATCATATTAACAAGTATTTCTTAACAGTTGCCAGTAGTAGTGGTGAATTCCCTGCCATTTTTTGCTTTATAAAGCTGTACCTCCTTTATAAATAATTCACTAACAATATATATAAGTGAGAATCAACAATTCTATTCCTCAAACCAGCTAGTCTCACTCACTCCTTCCAGAGAAATCCCGATCACCTAGGCTAAGGATGTTACCACCAGACTTGTCTTTTCCAGGTCACAAGTACCAGGTGGACGAGATGCGCCTCTCAACCAGGACGGAGGTTTTGCTCACCATCAGGAGCGTTGGGCACAAGGATTTCACCCACTACAGGTGCCATGCTGTGAACCCCATCGGGCAGGCGGAAGGTACCATTCGGCTGTATGGTACGTTGCTGTAGGATTTGTACTAAGTTCTTTTCATTAGATTTTTTCCTTTACTTGTTTGTTCATTTCGTATTTCATTGTCTTGATCTTAACATATTATTGCATTTGTTTATCTATTTCCGTGTTGTTGTATTAATTTATTTGTTTTCCTTTTACTGTATTCATTCATTATTTCTAATCCAATTTTATCTATAAATTTACTTGACAACAAAAGGTCCCCAGAATTAAATTCTTAACATCACTTGATTTGCAGCATTTCTTGGGCACACCGATAGCTTTCTGAATTCCTGCTAAGCTGTAATAAACATCCCGTTTTATGTGACATTAACTGTTTATGTGGCTCATGGATTGAAATTCTGTGCGGAGGTAGGGATAAAACATATACCTATACCTATAAATTATATCAGGCATTATATATATCTCTCAGGCAGTGAAGCCCCACCTGACATAATCTATCTAAAGCTCAGTAGTTACACCTTTCTTGGTATTAACTTTCTTTCCGTACCACTGAAATATACAAACGGTAGACTGATAGTATAAATAATATGTTTCATATGACTCTCTATTTTTATACCGATGATGTAAAAATTACCATATCGGCAAAGTTTTCCAGCCAAGCGATGTTAAAGTCATTTTTTTATTTATTTCTTCAGCCCTTTTATATTGTTTTACCATGTATTTCACCTTAACAATATAACATGAGATAATGTATAAATTTGATGACGTTGATCATTTCTATAGTGTAGGTGATGTTGATTGAGCATGAAACTTAGAGGAAGCTATTGGTGAATCCTACTGGTGACAGATTATGCATGTTTAATTCAACACTCCTTTCATTAGTTGAGGATTGTCTTTTACTTACCAAAATGATGTACAAATGTCAAAATTCAATATGTATTACCTATCATGCCCCAAGTTGTTAAGGTCTCTTAGGAAACTGTGAAGCAGATCACCGTTATCAAATTTGCGAGCTCATATTAAACATTTAATATCTTAAAACTATGACGGTCCTAGTCGGTGACATTAAATGACAGAAAATTTAAAGATTAAGTACCTATTGATTACATCCAAATACACATATTTTGTTTCCGATTTTCTTTCTTAAGAGAGCGTGTGACTAAGATTCCATCCTTTCGCAGAACTAAAGGAAAGAATAATGGCCGTTCCTACAAGACCAACGTGGAAAATTCCTCCTCCAGGTATTTTCAGGGTGGCAGTTTATGCATATTCGTTTATATTTCTATTATCGTCTTGTGTATCTCTAACTTGCTGTAATTCTTACATTCTTTCTATCTATCTGTTATCTATTATTTCTCTCTCTCACTCTCTCTCTCTCTCTCTCTCTCTCTCTCTCTCTCTCTCTCTCTCTCTCTCTCTCTCTCTCTCTCTCTCTCTCTCTCTCTCTCTCGCTTTCTCTCTCTCTCTATCTCTATTTATCTATCTATCTATTTATCTCTGCCTGTATCTCTATCTCGTTTTATATTTCTATCAAGATTTGCAAAATCTGTCTATATGTATATGCATAGATGCACACTGTCTGTCTGCATGTCTATATACTTATCTACCTCTCAGTTTGCATTATTTTGTTCATCTCTTTCAATCTTAACTGTTGATGTAACAATCCATATACATTTCTACCTATCATGTTGTCTATCTGCCTGTCTAATTATAAGATTTGCCTATCTGCCTGCCTAATTACGGATAATTAGGCATTGTCTGTGTCTCACTGTCTGTCTGTCAGTTTCTCCCTCTCTCTTCTCTTCTCTTCTTTTTTCTTTTCTTTTCTTTTCTTTTCTTTTCTTTTCTTTTCTTTTCTTTTCTTTTCTTTTCTTTTCTTTTCTTTTCTTTTCTTTTCTTTTCTTTTCTTTTTTCTTCTCTTCTCTCTCTTTCTCTCTTTCCTTTTATTTTATTTTATTTCATTTCATTTCATTTCATTTCATTTCATTTCATTTCATTTCATTTCATTTCATTTCATTTCATTTCATTTCATTTCATTTCATTTCATTTCATTTCACTTCATTTCATTTCATTTCATTTCATTTCATTTCATTTTATTTTATTTTATTTTATTTTATTTTATTCTCTTCTCTTCTCTTCTCTTCTCTTCTCTTCTCTTCTCTTCTCCTCTCTCTCTCTCTCTATCTATCTATCTATCTATCTATCTCTCTCTCCTACTCTTCCTCCTGGAAAGAATTAATATCAGTGAATCAGGAAGGTTAAAAAGAGATGACTCCATCACACGTAATTTGTCAGTATCGCCATTCCTTCCCACAATATCCTTCTCCCGTCGCCAGGCCGCTTCCCGGTCCCCAAGCAGGCCTCGCTCACCACGCAGCCGCCCACCAACGCCTCCACCAAGGTCCGCGTCGAGAGGCCCTGGCGCAACAACAACCGGGTCACCGACGTCATGCCTTCAAGGAACACGTCAAAGAAAGCGAGCGCCGACGACGACCAGAGGAAGGGGAGGCGCCTCAAGAACTACCCCCGCCACGGAGGTCGTTTCAATGACACGACACTCATCGTCGACCTCATAATGGACGTGGAAGGGGGGGCGACGACCTGTTACCTCCAGAAGCTGTTGAGGGCGTCGGATGTGGTTGTCGTTTTTCATGTATTGTTCCTATTAGTACGAGGTTGGTTTCAGGTCATATAATAAAATTATGAATGCGTAAATGTTGAATGAAGTTACAGTATTACTGACAATCACAAAAAAATGTTATAAGTGGGTAGAGCTGATATATTATACTGTACGAACAGAAATGCATTAACCGACACCAATATCTAATATCTACCGCTCAGTACCACACCTGCACTACAGATTTCTGGGTCTCAGGCTTTCCCTGAAATGAAGATTTAATATTTGGTATATGATGTCACAGTGTAGTTATACATAGATAGATACACTGCAGTTCCCCTTGTATGAACTGTCTAGAAATTGGCTAAAGGAGCATCTTTTGACCCAGATATCCTAAAACTGATTGAGGCTACAACACGTATTAAGATACGTTTATGAACAGGTCAGTGGAACTAGTCCCCCCTCAATAAAGATGGCTGTGTAGTATTTGTTTGTGTGTTTCAGCGACACTGTCACTGTTGGTGGATAAACACCAGACGCTCAGCATAAAATGCCGTTTCAGTGTATAGATGTATATTTGTGAATAAAATGTATAAAATGACATATGCGGTTATCATAATTTTAAGGAGAGACGTTCATGTTATTGTAATTATTAGTGGTGTAATGTATAATGGTATAGTCTTTCGAGTTAGTTGAGCGAGGGTGTGTGATGGCAGCTTGAATAGTTTACCAGAGTGATGGAAAGCGTTACAAAATGTCCTGTACGTGTTGATCCCGAAATGTTTAGTAAAGACTTATATGTTATCTTGCGCATTTCACATTTATTTAATCGGTGGATCATGTAAACCACCTAAAACCATGCAGTATTAGTCATGCACATACTTTTGATTGCAGTTTTATGCCGCTTGCATATGGTCGGATTAGCCATCGCATCTTAGAACTTAATGAAGAATGGATGTTTAAAAAAAAAGTATGATTTTGTTAATTTTGTGAAGGTGAGTTGCGAATGTTAATAACCTAAACATATCATATGTAATATCAACAGTGTAAGTATTCAGCATACGTGTACATTTAATTTTAGGGGATGAGATCCAATATACGTAATGCATCATTGTTAGTATTAGTAAAATATCCTAAGGGTATGTTTATTCTCAGTCTTACGTACGTCAGTGTTCATGTTATATTCCCACTGTATCCATGACCAGATATAGTGAAGTAGTCAGTATTCATCATGACAGTGACGTTTGTATTCGTATGTATCCACAGACACTATATACTGTATCCGTGTATCCGTATACAAGTGATTTTTTATGCAGACTCCACGAGCAACAACCTGTTTTAAAGCTTTTGTATAGAATTTTCTGAAGCTTGATAATGATTTCTTTTTTCTTTTTTCTTTTCTTTTTTTTACAGTAACTGCGAACTTTTTACCTTTGATAATTACAATAACAAATGACTATATATTTTTTTTTATAAGTCATTTAGATATGAAAATAATGTTTTAACATAATTCTTTGAATTTTCATCGACAATAAAAAAAACACTCTTTTGAATCTAGTCATATTTTATTACAAGTGTTATAAAGGAAAGATTCTCAAATGATATCTATAGTATCGGAAACGTCACAGTGATTCCGAGAAATAGACCTGAAGACATGACAAATATCTACATAAAACACCGTTTGGTTTGTTCAAAATCCCTGACATCACAAAAGGCAATTTTCTTTCATAGTTAAGACAACAAGAGGAGTAATATTTTCACATGTATGGATAACCCAATTCAGTGCGTTAGGAGATTCAAAAGCACACACACACACACACACACACACACACACACACACACACACACACACACACACACACACACACACACACACACACACACACACACACACGCATACATACACACATACATACATACACACATACATACATACATACATACATACATACATACATACATACATATATATATATATATATATATATATATATATATATATATATATATATATATATATATATATGAGGCAAGATAAATAACATGATACAAGTCGTCAGTATGCTGATCTTTTTATAAACTCGTAAAGTTTACATAACAATCAAAGTTTATATATAATTATATATAGGGAATCATATTTACACATATTTACAAAGTATCTTTGAGTATTGCACATAATTTTCTTTTAAGAAACTGTGAAGAAGCTATTATGTAGTTTATATAACATGCGGTACTATATATAGAATACTCATACTGCCCAGTTATCAAGAAATGAAGATATGGAAACAGCACATTACGTGCACAGACTCTAATCCGATGTAGTTGGTAAAATAAAGCTGTACACGGAATTTCCTATGGTCTTCTTTATACTTTCATTGCGAATCACCTTTTGAAAAATCACATAATGCGATCACAAACACGAATCACGAAAGATTTTTTAAAAAGTGGTCACATTTTGAAAAGAAGAATGACTGGGATTCTGAAAGAACTTCTTAATATAGACCAGAAGGCATGTCTAGTATGTGCTTAGAAGGCGAAGATCCGTTGATAATGGTGGACATGGTGCTAGCGGGCGTCGCAGAATAATCGGGAGAGGGAATGTCAGGATCAATGTCACCCTTACGTCGGCCGCCCATGCCCTTCTCCCGCCCATTGGGTACCCAGCTATCTCGGAGATTCCGTGCCCGCGGGGGAGGAGGGTAATCCCGCCCGCCGTAGTCGTTGAAATCGGAGAAGTCTGCAAGTCGCGGCGAAGGCTTATTCAGCATGAAGTTCGGGCCGTAGTCACTCTCCCTGAAGCCGTTCGGGTTTTTGAAGCCGTTAAAGGCGCTGATTTCGGTGTTGGAGAATTTGGGCGCCTTTCCGGACCGAGATGGCTTCGGCGGAGGTCCTGGCAGATCATTCACGAACATTGGAGGTTGGCCTTTGTTATCATATTGTTTTGCAGGAGGTCTATTCTCAGAACTCTTAGATTTAGATGGTCTCTTGTCCTCATAGCGGGTGGGTGATCGACTCTCTTGTCGCCTGCTGCTGTTGCTCTTTTGACGGGCATATTTCTCTTCCTTTTCGAGATGAATTTCGGGGTATTTCCATCTTAGCGTCCATTCGTTATCACCCTGACTCTCAAACCACTGGTCCAGGCGATCTTCCATGCTGCGATTCTTACGTCGGTTCATCTCGGCCGTAATGAGTTCATTCACACGGTTTCGGCGCTCAACCTCGTGGGGCGTGTACTTCGTGAAGGTGCGTCCACTTATGTGAACCTCTTTCTCCTCCAGCGGCACTAGAAGGTCCATGGAGCCCCGGCGTCGAGGGGAATAGGAGCGATGGCTGTTGTAGTCTGACTTGTTCCCCATCTGGAAGCTTTCACTGCGCTTGATTCCTCGCCGACGTCCCTCTCGAGATTCACGCTCGTTGTTGCTGCGGTCGATGAACGTCTCGTGTCGTCGAAGGGGTTTTTCTGGACGCACGAAGCCAAATGACTTCGTGGATTCCGTCTCGATGGTGCGAGGGCTGGGGAGAGGCTGGTTCCTGAGAAGCGTCTCCGTGTCGCTCGTCTCGGCAGGAGACTCAAACTCGAGGTAAAGAACTGGGTCTCGCTGGTTGCTGCCTACCTGGGAGCTTCTAGAGCGGGACCTCGCAGGTAAATGGGGCACTCTTGTTGGTACAATTTCTAATTCCTCAGTCATGGCATGTTCGGGACTGGCTCGGTCTTCAAAGCTTTCTTTTAGTAGAGGATTCTCTTTAACTGTTTCCTGAGAAGCCAGACTCAGAGAAGATTCAGCACTGCGTAACACATTCTCAAGACCAGACATTACTGCTTCTACTTCCTTCTCACTCACATCTTCACGTCTTCTGTCTTCTCTTTTGTCTCTCCTTTCACCACTCCCTCTTTCCTCTCGTTTATCCCTCCTTTCATTACTTCCTTTCTCCTCTCTCCTGCCTGTCCTATCGTCATCCTTCTTATTATCTGTCCTCTGGTCTTTCTTCTCCTCCTGTGGGTCGGTCATCATGACGAGGTTCTCATAGTGTCGAACAGACTCGCGCACGGAGGGACTATCTGAGGAACTATCTTGGCTGTCTCCCGACTCCTGGCTGCCCTTTGTCTCCGTCGAACTCTGGCTCTTTCCGGAGCCATGGGAGCCTTGAGTATTATTTTTGTCTATGAAGATCCTGTCATTAGCGACGGTAATAGCTTCATAAACCACGACGTCTCGCTCGTAATCGAGGTCACCCTCCTCGCTGCCGCTACGGGCTTTATCATTGGGCGATCCACTTCGGCTTTTATTCTGAGATGATCCTCGAAGCGGGACGTTCATGTACTCCGGGTCCTTCCTTTCTCCTCCTGGACTGGAGGAGGTGGAGGACGAAGATGACAGAGACGATGTCGAG